GTGATGTCAGAGGCTTCAGTGGAGGAGGAAATAGGGATAGAAGAAAGTGAAATAGCAAGGCTAGAGGTTCGCAAGGAAGGTAAAAAAACTTTCTGAAGGTTTTTAAGCGTGCAAGGAAGGGAGAGCTCTGTAGGTGCTGTTGAAGGTCCCCACAGATGCCACATTACATACCCTCTATAACATTAGGATAGTAATTCTTAAAAAACAAACAAGATTATTGTGAAGATTATAAAAAGAAATATATGTGGGGAAATCTTAAGTCACTATGAAATGCTTTACAAATGACAGTTGCTGTTGTTGCTGCTGCTTTCTGCAAAGTTGTTCTACATTCTGCAGTCTGGTTTATGAAATCTAAGGATTTTGAGAGGAACATAAGGAATCACTTACTGTTGATTGTCAGCTGAAAGCTGACGACCTCTGGAATCGAGTACCAAAAAAGCTGGACTGAATTTAACATACTTGGCAGAACTTGTATCCTCAGGAAAGAGGCCACTTACTCAGTTCCTCAAAGTTTACTCCCCTATTAATTGGTCCCTGAGGAGATAATTAACTAGATATAACATTCAAAATGAAAGACTACATCTATTCAGACACCTTCAGTATTGCTGAACTCTCCTTTTTAACACCTCATTCATCCATAAAGTCTTGAGTTAAGAATCAGTCTCCTTTGGGATTCTGAATTTTAAGCACATGGCATTTTTAGCACCAGTCAATCAATCTTGGAGAATAAAGTTTTCTTGTAATTATGATTGTCCTATCAGAATGACAAGGCTACCATGGAGACTTAATTTAAGGCTGCTTCTCATGAGATGTTTTGCTATTTGGTATAGGTATCTATGTAGAATGTGTATTATCAGGAATGAAAAGTGCATGCATAGTTCAAGCAGAACTTTCAAAATATGTTCAGTCAAAAACAGAACTCATCAGGGCTCTGCTTTCTTTAGCTCATTGATGTAAACCTCCCACCCTATTTGTAATATGTATGTGCTATATGATTGAATTCACATACATTTTGTGCTGTGAAATTCATGTCCAATACAAAGTTGTGGGCAATGTGCCTTAAAGAAGACTAATAAGAAAACAGATGATTTTTTCTCTCTCTGCCTCAGATATGCACACTCATTCACACAAGGTTTCAAGAGAACTGAATTTTTGCCAATCACACCAGACTTTGGTGTGATTGAAAATGTAAAAGATGTGGCTCTTTCTTCATGTGCAGCTTATTGTGTTTTGCTAGGCACTGCATCACTCAAACCAGTGTCCCCCAGCCTTCTTGAGTTGGTAGGCACATGCTGGATTTTGAGAGTTAAAATCACAACTCTTACAAAAATGGCTACTACAGCAGGGCCCTCCTGCTCACAAGGTGGCTCCTGTGGTGTTTATAGCCAGTCACTATTCCCAAAAGGCAAACTAACAAAGCTAGAAGAAAAGTAACTTGCCCAAGAACCTTGGTACAAGGTGGAAATAGGGTCTAAGTTCCAAAATGTGCACACCAACACATTTTTTTAAACTTGCAAGTTTCTGCTGCAACACCCATTTGACAGATGACAAACTATGAGGCTTAGAGACAAGAAACTGAGCACAAGGTAGAGGTGGGGGCTAAGTCCCAGTGTCAAATCACATCTATATTTATTTTATATTAAATAAATAAATATTTGCTTCCACAGAGCACAACAAAATACCCATTTCTCAAAAGCAAACTTGCCCTGCTCAGAAAAACACACCCACACCTACCACACAAAGAAGGCAAAAGACACTTAGCACAGAAAATAGCATGCCCATCTATCTCCTGGATATTCCCTTCCATCCCTCAGCTTAACTTGTCCTCTGTTTTCTGACTGCTTGGACATGCTGGAATACCAGCATTTTTATTTTATCTCAGTGTATTTTTTGTATTTTTGTATTTATTGGTAATTTATTATGTTCTATTGTATTTCAATGTATCTTATTGTGTTGTAAGCCGCCCCGAGGCTTCGGCAAGGGGCGGCATAGAAATGTTATAATAATAATAATAACAATAATAATAATAATAATATTTTTCAAAGAATGTCTGTGGTGCTCATAGGCAATCTTAGAAATAAAGTTAGTGCTGGAAACCAGCACTTTGCTTTGCAACATGCCAGTCTCCCAGTTAAAAGAAAAAAGAGAACACACACACACACACACACACACACACACACAGAGAGAGAGAGAGAGAGAGAGAGAGAGAGAGAGAGAGGAGCCTGTTAGGTGCCAGGAGTGGTGATTGCAGGCACGTCGGTGTCCATAAGCATTATGTTGGAGAACCCAGCACTAGAAAAAGGGTGAAGGAGCAGAGAATGTGTATGGCTTTGGTGATTCAACAATAATGGCAAAAACCAGATTTTTCAGGTGGTGTTTTAAAAGAGGGGAGGGAATTGACTTGACTCAGGGGCAGCAGAGATAGAATGGCAGAAGAGAGAGAGGGAGAGAAGACTGAACCAGACTAAGGTATGAACATTCGTTTTCAAAGAATGGAGGAAGTGACAAATCAAGTAAGAAGTTAGAAGGAAGCTTTATTTATTGCCTTCGATCTCCTCTTTAGTTAGACAGTAAATCCTTGCTCTTGGCCATTCTGCAGGCTTCCAGCTTAAATCAAGCTTCTTGACTTCACTGGGCCTGGAGCAAGGTTACAAGGTGAATACATTATCAGATATGATTCTAGCAAAAGCCAGAAGCCAAATCTAAGAGGCAAAACGCAAGTTGTGATGGACCTCTCCATTGATGGCATTGTACACAGCATGTCACAGATGGCCTTACTTCCAAAAAGTAATACTAGCTTTCAGTTTATGAAACATTAAATTATTTTATATATGACTTCAACCTTACACCCCTTTTTTCTTGTATGAAGCAATCAGATTTTGAGTAAGCTGCAATATATCACCACTGTTAAATGTTTAAAAAGTACTCATTGTAAACCATAAGGGTTAACATTTTCAAATTTTCAAAAACAATTTGCCTGACACAACTTTAGAGGAAATAAATTAAAGCTTGACCAGAATTTCAAATGTTTAGTCTGAAAACACACGTGACTGTGGATGTTTTTTTTTTTAGCCTCTGTAGGCCCAGTATAAGATCCTTTTGTCAGCTTTTAGCTGTGCAGAAGTATTGTCAATTTGATGTATATGCTGTTTTGTTGACTTTGCAAGGAAATTTTCTTGAGCCCACTTGTTTTTGGATCCAAAAAGCTGAAGGTCAACAGCTATTGGAAAAGTGGAACTAAATCTGAAAGATGCTCTTCCTCTTGTGTAAGCCTGAGAAACCATCTGTTATAGTTCAATATGAGTGCTTGCATGACCATTTGTGTAATAGTGCTAGTTGCTCTCTTCCTCCTCACTGCTCTTTGGATCCAGCCCATTATATTGGAAAGCAGTGTTTTTTTTCCTTCTGCTTTGAAAGCTCTTTGGAAAGAAAAATGTATGTGGTAGTGCCAGCAGAGAATGACATGTCTCTTGCATAATGGTTAAATTAATAGGGTAGGGGGAAACAGTTATCAGCTGTGGATTTCTTTTGATCCTATTGTTCTGGGCACATTAAGTGGCAGCAGTTATGTTGTGTAGAGGAGGGAAAAGATGGGTGTGCCAAGAGAACAGGGGCTCTTGGCAGGACACATACGTTGAATATTCTTACTTGTCAGTCATCACTTCAGGCACACATGCACAGATGCTGCTTTTGTTTTCACATAATCTAGTAGTTGATTGTTATGGTCTGCCTGGAGTGGCACACTCAGCCAGACCAAGCTGACTCCATCATACTCAGCTGCAAGACACAAAAACCTCCCTTTTGCAAAAAGATAAAGGTCAAGACATCTGCATGCAGATACCTTGACTGAAGTCATCTTCAGGTCAAGTGCCTTCATGCAGCAAACCTATTGAATAATAATCTGCCCAGGTGCCTAAGCAGTGAGCAGTCTCCGCACTCAGAACTGAGAATGTGCCATTATAGGACAGTCAGGATTCTTTGGAATCTCTACCTTGGCAAGAGGGTAGACCCAGGGGAGGTAGACTCCACTGGAAAATAAGGCAGTGGTCTTTCCTTTCCAGCACGGATACCACAAGCAGCTCTCCCTGGAGTAGGTAGCCATGCAAGAGGGGAGATTGCACCAAGGTTTCTCTGGTACAAGTGCTCAGGCGTAGCTTTACCCTAAACAAATGGGGAAAGGCATCACATAGTCACCAGGAGAAGTTTATCATGGACATAGTAAGTCTTCAAGGAACCAGGTGGACAGCTTGCACAGGTCCATGCTAGCTAGATGTTGGCTTTCACACTTTGCCTGTTTCTTGTTATATGCTCAGAATTCAACCAAACTTTCCCCATTCTGTATTTATTACTGAATCTCTAGTAAATCTTTTACTCTATGTTTACTAAAACCCAGATTATGTGCTTTTGCATGAAAGGGGTGAGCATCCCATTCTTGGCCTCATTCACACTATTTTAACAGCCAGGTTGCATCCAATGTGCTGAGCAAAACCTGAACCTCTCTTGCCTAAGGACACAAGAGTTTCCAGACAAGGTCAAGGCAAGAGACCCCCTTGAGATCCTTACTCTACTCTTGGTGGTGGCAGCTATACCACTGCAGCAACCTTTGTGCCTCTAGCTGGGGTACCTACAGGGTCCTGGTCACCACATTGTTGACATTCATTACACCCATTAAATGTAAATAATTGAGTGGTAACTCCTGCTGGGTTGTGTATTAATAGAAATTACCAAAAAAGAGGACAGCTTAGGATGGTGAGCACTGATTTTCATAGTGTTTATTTGTGACAAAGCATGTCAGTAACCATCTGCTGGTTGCTGCATGATAATATCCTTGCGCAAGTGGCAAAACTGGGCCATTGTGGTATAAAAGAAGGTGTTGCATTGTACAAACAGGGAAAACAAGGGAGCACATTTCATGAATATTGCTGTTTGTGAATAATATTTACTGTCTTTTTATACCATATACTGCTGTGAAATGTCTGTAATATAATTTTCTTTCACAGGAAGAGTCACCCCTGAACAGCTGAGCTCATACATCTTGCTCTTCAAAAAGAAGCTTGAAGCTCTTGAAAATCATTGTGGGCTTCTGCAGATTGCACTGGCCATCGTACAGACACTAAAACACCCTCAGAGTGCCAAATGGGACAACTTTTTAGCCTTTGAAAGGCTTCTTGTGCAGGTACAGTATGGTGGAACTTTATTGCTTTTTACAAAGGAGTAGATAATACTTAAGACTCTCATTTCTTCTGTGTTTTACACACCCTCCCTTTTCAGAGCCCTTTGAAGAGAAGGAACTTCATCTCTGGTAGCCCCTATGTGTGGAATACTCTTCCTAGAGAGATCTTCCTGGCTACATCATTGTATACATTTAGGTTCAATCCTTCCTCCTTAAGCAGACATTTAATATTTAATCTGTTGCTTTATTAATGTTCTTCATATAATTTATTTTATTTTTCAATAATGTTTTAAAATGTTTAATATTTTTCTGTTTAATATTGTATTTGGTACTTTATTGTTACATTATTTTTGTTTGTTTATTTGTTATTTTGTTGTGGTGGAAGTTGTTTGGTTTTATGTTTGTAAACCACCCAGAGGGCATTTGCTGTACAAACTACATACAACTATTTGGGCTATAAACAATTCTAATAAATAGACTACCATTTCAAACACTAGCAAGACCTCAAATTTTCACAGCATCTTTATTTAATTCCTATGCTGTTCAACAGACAAAACCCTGAGTGGTTTGCAACAGTGCACAAACAGGACCACAACACAATAAGAACACGATAAAAATTTCCCATAACACAAATGTCAAAAAGCTGCTTAGAAATTTTAAAACAACTAACAGCAAAAGTAGGATTTAGTATAGTATAGACTTGTTAAAAACACTAGACCTGGGTGTCCCCATCAAGCTAAATTTTAGATAACTTTAGACATTTTAATGCCTCAGCAAGGCTGTCCTAAGCTGGTCTAAAAGGATGACAAGTTGATGCCAAGTTGGGCTTGGTGGGGAGATCCTTTCCCAGTTGAGGGGCTGCCACTAAGAAGACCCTCCCTTGAAGCCACCTTTCCGTGGAGTTGGCAGAGGAAGGCCTCAGATATTGATTATATTACAGCCTGTGGTTAGAAGAAGCATTCTTCAAATATGGTGGTCCCAAGCCACATAGGATTTTTTAGGTTAAAACTAACATGTGAATTGGACTTGGAAACAAATAGGCAATGGATTCAAGTGGGCTAGATTTGTTGTTATGTGTTAGACCTTCTGCTCCCACTTTTAATCAGACTGATATACTTGGTACAAGCTGCAGCTTCTGAACAGTCTGCAGGGGCTACTTTGCATGGACTGCATTGCAGCAATCTAATTTAGAGGTTACCAGAGCATAGCTTTCTGAAATCACACTGTCCCTGTCCAGATAGGGGTGCAGCTGGGCCACCTGTGAAAATTGATAGTAGACACTCTAAGCTTCCAGTGACACAGATGGTTTAGGGGAACCCTCAAACTATGAACCTGCTCATTTAAGAGGAGTGTTACCACACCGGGAACAAGTTGAACACCCTCCATCTGGTGAGGGGCACCACCCACACTAATAGCATCTCAATCTTGTCTGGATTGAACTTCAGCTTGTTAGCCCCATCCAGTCCATTGTTGCAGCCACCTAACACTCTTTGCCACTGCTAAACACCCTAGGACACCCTAGGTTAACACAGTTTACCAGAGATTAATTGAGTGTAAGTCTCCTAGCTCAGGGGGAGAGTTACGTTTGTGCATAAAATTCAAACACTGAGATCAGTGCAAATGATGCTGCAGTTCTATATACATGCTTATGATCAAGCTCCCCTTTGACATGCTTATGATCAAGCTCTTCAAACTTTTCTGGCTTTTGCTGGATCATGGCCAACTGTGTCTAAAGTGTGGTTGCATGAGATGTAATTTTATTTGAACCAGAATGAAAGTACAGGTTCAGCACTGCATGAAACACCCACTGGAGATGCGACAATAGTCTAAATTGTGAAGAAAAATGAGGGTAGAAGAAAAGGGCAGAAGGCAAGCAAACTAAATAAAATATATACTTTGATTGCCAGTGGTTACCCAGCATTTTCCTAATCATACCCATCTCTGTATTTATACTCATTACCTTCCAACCTTTATAATAAGGTCAGAATTTGAGCCAAAGCAAACTTTCCTCTTGAGCATTATAATTGCTTTCTAAGTATACATTCATTTTCTGCAGTTAACAGCAATTACTCTGAATTACATGATCTATACAGCTTGCAACTTTCTGTGTTCTGAAGTAGGGCACCCAGTCCTATTTCAAGCATGTAGATGAGAAGAACCTGTAGATCTAGTGGAAAAAAAGCAAAGCCTCATAGTTCCTTTTTTAATACTTGAAATAGATTCATAGGATTACTTTCTTATTTACTGCATTGGTAGCACAGCTTCTGCTATGGAGTGTTGAATATATGGGTTCCCTAAGCATGTTTCTATCTTGATAACTGAACAGGCCAAAAACTTCAGAATTAATCAGTTATTCGTGTAAACCAATCTATTTATGTTTTTGGTCTTGTCTTCTCTTTTTCTGTTCCACCCAAATGTTTTATTCATCATTGTTGCTGCCGTTGAAGAATAACCTGCTTTTAAACACTTTTTCAAAGCAGCACACACAAGGAATTTCTACTTAATAAAATATGCAATTACATCAGAGACAGCAAGGCAGCATAAAATATCATAAATTGAATGACTACACACCACCTCTTACCTTCAGAGCTCTGTTTAGCATGTCTGTCTCCTTAGCTGCATCAGGGAATATTCTTATGTTGGGCAAGGTGTCCTCTGCAAGCTGATGGCATCTTACTCTGGCATACTAATTGAAACTCTCGATCACTTTGCTCTTGGTATGCTAATTGACATCTGGATGACCTCACTCAGTGGTTTCCTGTAGAAGTCAAACAGCATGGGGAACAAAATGACATTCTGTAGAATCCTGTAATGCATATTCCACCCACTAGAGCAATCCTCCCCTATTCTACTTTCTGGAAGGAACTTATTTATTTCATTTATTTAGGTTTTTATATCCCACTCATTAGTCCAGATTTCTCAGATAGCCCAGAGCTCTACCTAACTTACCGAGTAGGCATAGAACAAGTAGAGCACAGTATCTATCCCTTGTTCCCATTGTTTCTATGTGATTTAGAAGGGTATCATGGCTGGTGATGACTAAGGGTGACTAAGGTAGTTTTAGTGCCAAACCAGGGATGGAAGTCAGACTGAAATGGATTCATATTATATGTGTCACCCAAGTATTTTTGGTTCTGTACAGCCATCACTATCAACCCTTGCTCCCTAAAAGATGATTTATCACCAACTGATAGCACAGTCTTCTGGTTCCAAGAAAGATTTCTTAAGAATGTGAACTATTAACAGC